ATTATACCACCCCTCTCGCACAGTGATACAGAGCCGTACAAAAACCTCCTTCCTCTTTTATGAAGAAACACAATCACAGATGTCACATCGGGAACATTCAGTCACACATTTTTATTTAACTTCTATGTTAATATTGATTGTTAGAGAGATGATTATTAATCATGATGACAACTTTAATTATCAGAAATATGCAGAAAATTCGGCTTCTGTTAGTGAACAAAGTGGCCAGGGATTGTGCCATTCAGATGAGTGAACTGTCCAAATCTGGCCATTATGTTCCCCCATCCCCCACACCCCAGACAGACTATGTTCTGGTCCAACTCAAATGTGACCTGAACCTGGAACATATCCCTACCCTGGAGCATATCCCTGCCAAACCCATCCCTGTGTGTACATGTCTCTACTCACTGATATTCCCTACCTTATCCCTATAGGACATAAAATAATGGACTGATACTGCCATCTACTGGTGGTCTTTGAGTTTTTTCCTACTTCCAGTTCCAGGAATATACTCAGTATGTATTTATCCTGTTTGGTGTTGTCATTACCTGCAATGATTGCTTAGGTTAAATGCACATCAGACTCACAGTGGGAGTTTTTCCCCGGACTCCAAAAATGAAGGAAACATGTAAAAACAGAAGTAAATGCTTCATTCATCACACATTTCCTGGGGTTCATAAAAGCTCCAAGAAAAAACTCTGACAGTAACATGTTTCAAGCACTGGGGGTGGAGAGAAAACTGTTTTTATCTCCTTCAACTTCCCACCTAAATTCTATCATTAAACTCAGTTGGGGCTGTATACATGACAAGACTCTGCTGCATTTCTTTGTGGCCGTTGCAATTTTAGCTCGGCTAGCAGAGTCTGATAGGTGACACGGCCAGTCAAACATGAACATTAAATTCAGCGGGAGCGTGCCACAACCACAAGCCGAGCATTTGCAGTGCAATATTTTCATACAAGATCCCTGCTGAAATAAAAGAAACATACATTCAGGAGGTGGCAGGACTGCTGTCTGTTAGTGCAAAAAGTGACTAACAAACATACATAAATATGCCAAGTATTGTTTTATCACCCAATAAAAACTAGAAAATAACAATAAAAAAGTCTTATAATAGCAAGCCAACAGTCCATAATCCACCAATTTTGTGAAGTAAAATGCAAGGATCTTCAATCATGATAAAACATACTCCAGTGCCAAGCTCTCCAATGTGCCACCAATCCACCACTATGCAATGCCCGCTCACCTCAAATGTTTGACCTGGATATGTCAATGCACTCTAGTATGTGGCACTTGCAGATCCAACCTCTCGGCTGTTAGTGCCCACTTCTCATGGCAGATCCAGTTAAGTGACAGGGTTATGCTGTCTCCATTCACAGTATGGCTGGAACATAGAATAAAGAAGCTCTCATTGTGTGCAACAGAGTAACAAATTTATCACCGTTTATTATAGCTAAAAACGTGCTCACGTTTGTAAAAACACTAAGAGCAATGTATAGCAGCTCATCACACTTTGGATTTCGCGTCCTAACCAGAACTGACATCACTAGCTCCGCCCAACGCGTTACATCTCTGGGCACGTGACTTCATCAGGGTACCTACATACTGTGAATGGAAGCATTATAACCTAAGGGGTCCTACCATGAGAAGTGTGCACTAACAGGTGGATGGTGGATCGCAAGTACCACATAGTAGAGTGCATTTGACCTATCCAGGTCAAACATTTGAGGTGAGCGGGCATTGCACTTAGTGGTGGATTGGTGGCACATTGGAGAATTTGGCACTGGAGTATGTTTTATCATGATTGAAGATCCTTGCATTTTGCTTTACGGAGTTAAAAAAATTGGTGGATTATAGGACAGTTGATTTGCTATTATAAGACTTTCTTATTGTTATTTTCCAGTTTTTATTGGTGATACAACAATACTTGGCATATTTATGTATGTTTGTTAGTCACTTTTTGCACTAATTGCATTATATACACTGTATGACATTTTGGTTGCTATACTGTATATGTCTTGTTTGTTCACTATTTTGAGTAGGAGGGAGTTCTGTACACATAATATTGATTGGTTTCTTATTTAAAGGGATAGCACACCATTATAGTAGACTTTTTTCATTTAGATTCTATAGTGTGGGAGCACTCTTGTTGGGGGTGGTTGCAGCAGGTCCACATACAGTACTTACCTTATAGCTCTTTCCTATAGCAGCATATGAGGTTACTCTGTTACACTTCTAGGATCGCCTCCTGAACACCTGACAGCTGCTTCTATACTGTTCTCTGCAAAGACCTGCTCAGGGGGTGGGGCTGTGACCAGACAAAATATCTTGATGAAATATCTCTCATTTAATTATTTTCCATTTAGGAACAAAATGTAGGTAATGAATAATATTTCAGCTTCACTTAGTTGTAGCAAGGAGTACTGAATGGCTGCCAAGATATGTGATCATAGAGAAGGATCAATAATAATGACTTAGGAGTATAGAAATCTGGACCTGCTCAGGGGGCGGGGCTGTGACCAGACAGAGAAATGAAATACAGGAACAGAAAAATGTGGTCATATACAGAATATTATTCAGACTAAAGCAGACATGTATCACCTCGGGATACACCACTAGAACAAAACATATTAATAGCAAGAAGTCAATATGAAGTCTTCCTTACAGGTGTTCCTCTATATGGTGACATCACTTAGCAAAATCACCCGGCACACACATTTCCATTGCAGAATATGAGATTGTATAGCAATTATTGAACGACCTATCAGTACCTTCCATGGACATGTCTTTGTTAGAGATTCTTTATTTATCTCTACAGAACAGACAGTGCACAGCCCACATGTGCTTTTCTGTTTCAATGCAACAAGGAAACAGGAAACGTTTTATTCAACTAAAAGACACAGAGTATATCCCATAGATGTAGCTACAAATGTATAGACACTGCCATCTACTGGTTGAAGAAATATATCTCTATTAAATACTGCTGTAGTTGTTGCATAAAAAAGTCCATGAACACTGTATTCCAACACACGGAGCGTTCTGACTTCTCCATACAGATCTGTTTCCTCTGTTACAATATGGGACTGTTCTTGGATTTTTGCCCTCTGGTCATTTCCATTCAGCGGTCAGTTTCTACCAGACAGAATACTGCTAAGGAGGGGGAGGGGACGATTGTTTCTTCCAATATGAAGGTTTTAGTGTATTTCTGAGGTGGGAAGCTAGATCATCCGCTTGTCCCGTTTGAGTATTCTTCTGATATTTACATTTAAACTATAGTTTAAATTTAGCGGCTGTGTACTTAATTATAATAATAAATGTAATAATTATATATGAAATTAAGGACCAGTTATTTTGAAAAACAAATATTATAAGTTGCGCATATATAATGATCAATGAGTTTTGCATGCTCCCTTCTCCCTACAGTTTCCATCCTTTGTTTCCTAAGTATCCATGCTGCTTGAGGGTGTTTTAGCCCCTATATCCTTGTGAGTGCATTTCTTTGCTTTTCATGAAGTTTTAATAAAACTAACTTTACTGCACTATAGGGGCCCCTCTCTCTTATTTACCCGTATATGATATCTGCTCTATTGGTTCTGGTGATGTGGAGTTCCCAGTGACCAGGACACACCAAGGAAAGGAGGTTTTGGAGTATTGATTATTTGACCTATGTGATGTGGGGCAATTGGTGGAGGTGAGCGTGCATGCCTGGTGGTGGTGGATATCACACATGCATACTAAAGGAGAAGATTCACAGTATTATACATTTTTTTGCTATTTTGTGCTATTCACTTTGTGTGTAAACACACAATATATCAACTGGTGTAAATGAGGTCCAAACAACCCCCTAATACGGGGTATATACTGTAATAAACCAATAAAAAATATACAATAAACAAAAGATGCACAATAGGTCATATAAATATTGTGAAATTAAATGACTTTGCATTTAATCTCATGTCATTTAATTTCACAATATTTATATGACCTATTGTGCATCTTTTGTTTATTGTATATTTTTTATTAGTTTATTACAGTATATACCCGTATTAGGGGGTTGTTTGGACCTCATTTACACCAGTTGATATATTGTGTGTTTACACGGTTAAATATTTTTTCCACTTTTTTAAGGACACTACTAATATTTATTACTTATTTATTTCAGGTATTTATACAGCGCTGTCAATTTACGCAGCGCTTTACATGCAGTATATATTGTACATTCAGATCAGTCCCTAACCCTCAAGGGGGCATACAATCTAAGGTCCCTAACTCACATTCATACATACACATACTAGGGCCAATTTAGACAGCAGCCAATTAACCTACCAGCATGTCTTTGGAGTGTGGGAGGAAACCGGAGTACCCAGAGGAAACCCACACAGGCACAGGGAGAACATGCAAACTCCAGGCAGGAGGTGCCGTGGTTGGGATTGCGAACCAACAACTCTAGTAGTGCCAGGGGGAAGTGCTAACCATTTAGCCACTGTGCTGAATACACCACTTATCATGTATTTAGTCTTATTTATTTAGTAATTTATTTCATGTAGGGATTTTTCTTTTTTTGTTTTAGCGCAGCACTATTTCTTTTCTTTATATTCATTTAGTGGTGGAACATGTTCTTTGGGTGCTTGCTGCTTTTTGTTTTAGTTTTTAGTTTAGTTGTTTGATTGTTTGTGCGGCAGCGCATGAGACTTTATTAATACACTCTGACAATTACTGCAGTGAATGGATATAATGAAAGACTTGAGTACTGTCAGCGAGGTCATAGTAACCCTCCCATAGAAATATTTCATTCAAATGTCTGTAAAAATATACGCATATACTGTACAAGTGTATTTAAGCACTTCCCGCTGGCCCATGTAGATAAACGGCTGGAAGGGAGCGCTGCCGAAGCTGGTAAACATTTCTAAATGTCCTTCCGCATCCATTGCCTGTGCGCTCTCCCTGGGAGAGCAGGGCACCGCGGTCAGTGCCCACTGTGTCTGGAGGACACAGATCACTGTATGGGACCTCTGTGTGATGTCCCAATTCATGTGATCACTGATTGGCCAATCAGTGATCACATGAACAGTAGTAAACGAGATGTCACTTCCTGACATCATTGCTTACTACTTGTGAAATCTGTGAATGATCACAGAGGTCACATGGTACAAGGCTATTCACAACAGCCTTGTACCATGTGACAAGCTGTAACCAATCACAGCTCTCACAGTATTTTTCAATGACTGCAGGAATGCATCCAGAGAGAAGGAGAAATGATTGCTATTACAGCGTTTATGGGTGCAAAAGCAATCAGTGTAAAATAAGAAGAAAAAATCTTCATCCCCCCCCCCCCCCCCCCCCCCCCCCCCCCCCCCCCCCCCCCCCCCCCCCCCCCCCCCCCCCCCCCCCCCCCCCCCCCCCCCCCCCCCCACAAGTAGCCGTCACTATAGTGTATAATGCTAAGATGACAGTATGTTTAAAAAAAGTAAATAATAATATAAAAAAAAATATAAAAACATTTTTGAAAAATTATAATTTTTGGTTTTAAACTAATTTGGATATTTTTGTTTTTACTAAAGATTTTGGCCAAGATTTATGAAGAAAGATTATTTATTTGCAAAATTTTATAAGAAAGACACTTATTTGTTCTAAATTTTCGGACTTTCTTATTTATATA